TTAGGTTGTAATGATGAAAAAGATATGCAAGGGTATAAGAAATTATTGGAAGTACAATTATAATCATTGGTATGATTTTTTCTCTTTTTTTTTGGTAAGATAATTTTTTTTTTTGGTAAAATTTTTTTTTTCTCTTTTTCTTTCAACTTTCGTTATAAAGCTGCATAAGAATAGTGCCATGCATGTGATTCGACTCTAAATGTATAGATTCATCTTATTAAGTAACATGCATGTGTTTTCTTTTTCTCGATAAATAATAACAGGCGGTATATTGTAGAGCTAAAGGCCCAAACAAAGGGCTAAGAAACTTGACGATCAAGCGCAGAACGGGATAAAAGGCCCTAAAGGATGTAATCTTGATTGATTAAGGATATCGTAGTCTTTTGTAAATTTCAAAACGCCTTTGCTGAAACAAAGACTAGACTTGATTGTACCAAATAAGAATTGTTTAGAGAAAACAGGCGCGTATACAGAAACGCTCTTACAGGCGTTTAGCTCTTTTTTTTTGGGTGTGTGTGTGTGCAAAGTGTCTGTTTGGCTCTACGGATAAACTTAAACTAGATAAATACAAAATCAGAAGACATGAGAGTTGTTACATCGGGCAAGAACTAAGTGAATTACCGAGCACGATGAGCCTGTGTTGATTAATCGAATCGAATCTGAATGGATAATCAATGTGCTAAACTTGTGAGAAATATAGGTAGGTAAATTGTATTGTTAGCACAAATAAAGTGCTATCAACAAGACAACAAGAAACTAAAACATTTCTCGAAATGGTTACTTAAGATTGGCCTTGAATCTGAGCAGAATCAGACAGAGAGAGAGAGAGAGTGTTAAGAAATGTTGTGTAGCTTATCCATTTCAAGATTCCTATCGAGGAAGACGACGACATCGTCTCTTCTCTCCCGCAATTTCAGATTCCTTGTCTCCGCCGATTCTCTCCCTCGCGTCCCGCTTCTACGCCCTTCCTCCTCCAACAACACCCTAATCCCTTTCTTCTCCTCCTCCTTCTCCCGCCGTATTTGGGACTCTAGCGGCGGCGACGACTATGATCACATCAGGACCGACGTCAATTGCCCTCGTTGCTCCTCCCAGATGCTCGTCGTCTTCTCCAATCGCCCACTCTCACTCACCGCCAGAGAACCAGGGATCTATCAGGCCGTTAATTTCTGTTCCCAATGCAAGACAGCTTTTTACTTCCGCCCATTCAAGCTCTCTCCGCTTCAAGGAAGCTTTATCGAACTCGGTAAGGTCAAAGGTACAGGGGAACGTGATGATGATGATGATGATGATGAAATCCGTCAGAGATCTTTTCCTAGGAATTGGAAAATCCAGGGCCTTAGAAGCGAAGAAGATGATGAGGAGGCAGAGGAGGAAAGTAAGGGCGGTGATAAAGAGGAGCAATCCGTGAAGAAGCTTCCGACACCCAAGGAAATCTGTCAGGGACTCGACGAGTTTGTCATTGGTCAGGAAAAGGCTAAGAAGGTCCGCTCCTCTCCTAGCTTCATACTTCCACCACGTAATCCTATATTTCAGCTAAGATTCTTTCCTTGTGGCAGGTGCTCGCTGTGGCTGTTTACAATCATTACAAAAGAATCTATCACGCTTCTCGGAAAAAAGGGTCTGTCTTCATCTTCCACGCCATTGTCATTATGCGTCAATTCACAACAGAAAGCTCACTCCTTTTTGCTCTTTCTTCCAGGTCTGCTTCAGCATCAGATAACCTTGATATGGAGGATGATAGCATTGATCACGTGGAGTTGGATAAGAGCAATGTGTTGTTGCTTGGTCCTACTGGTTCAGGTTTGTGTGCTTTAGCCATAAATGTTCTTTGAAAGTATTAAGAGCTTTTGATTGTTTAGTATGCTTATTACATTCGCTTTTCTGTTTCTTGCTTGATTATAAGAACAGGAAAGACCTTACTGGCAAAAACTTTAGCGCGTATTGTCAATGTGCCATTCACCATTGCTGATGCGACTTCACTAACTCAGGCAAGTTTTTTTGCTCATCCCGTTCAAGTTTGTTTAACTGGCAGTGATATAAGTAGTTAATCAGAATTGAATGATGTCGTACCTCAAAGAAGCATTAGGGCCTCTAGGATGTCTTGCAATCCCTCATCTGGTTACCATTTTGAAAAATACTTAATGACGTGACTTTTCTAGTTTTCTTCGAGGGATCCTTTCACAAGTCTTACTCTTTGCATAACTAAACTACTCGTCTTGTCCAGGCAGGTTATGTTGGTGAAGATGTGGAATCAATTTTGTACAAGTTATATGTGGTATGACTGCTATCTCCTCGTCTTATGTCTCTGGTTTTAGCATACCTTTATAGTTTCTACCATCTTTTGGAATATCATCTAATGTTCAGAAACTACAGTTGTTCCTTTTATTGTCTTCTGTTTTGATACAAAATAGTTCATAATAGCTCATAAAACTTGTATCCTCTCAACACTTTTGCTTGGTTCGCTATTTTTGAATCCAGAAAACCTTGTTGCACATGTTTGCTCTTTGTAGTACTCATGTTTCTAATATTCTTCATAGATGCTAATACGAGCTGAATATTTTGTTAATGCAGGAAGCTGGGTGCAATGTAGAAGAAGCTCAAAGGGGTATTGTGTACATTGATGAAGTTGATAAGATGAGTATGAAGGTATATAAGTCTTCTTCGCTCCTTACCTTGATCCTGAATTGATAAATACTCAATACTTAGCAACATATTGTTCTCTTTCAGTCTCATAGCTCAAATGGAGGTAGAGATGTCTCTGGAGAAGGTGTCCAACAGTCCTTGCTAAAATTGCTGGAAGGAACTGTAAGCTTTTTCTACTTTATAATCATTTGTTTTACTCAAGTGCGTATAGTTGACAGAAACAATATTCCTTGGTCGCCTTCTTACTGATAGTGATACAGATTGGATCAGGTTTTACCTGTGCATATGCGTAGTCTCATTTTAAATTAGACTTCATGTTAACAAAACACATGGTCTATTCGCTTATAAAAGGCTAAAAATATATTGTGTATTTAATCTATACCTGATGCTGTAGCCAAGAGCTAAATATATGTTTAGACATTATCTATAAAAACATAGGTCGGATACTCCATGCCTTAATAAATATATGTAATCAGCAAACCGTATGTAATAAATTTAGTGTGAGAATCTTCTAATAGCAGATGCTATTCTAGGTGATCCAAAAACTATAAATTATAGCTTCAATTAATGATGAATGTGCAGGTGGTCAGTGTCCCGATTCCGGAGAAAGGATTACGGAGAGATCCTCGAGGAGATAGCATTCAGGTAGCGTGAAATAACTCCTTCTTTTAAGTTTCGCTTTTGTTTCCGAGCATTTTAGAAAGCACTTTTGTGACACAGTCAGTCAAAATACTTCAGTTCATGAAAAATGCTGAATGTTTTGGCGAAAACCAAATATGCAGATGGATACAAAAGACATCCTTTTTATTTGTGGTGGAGCATTTATTGATCTGGAGAAAACTGTTTCCGAAAGGTAAATTTCTCTAGTCTTATAGTTTCGACAAAGTCTTCAGTCTTATCCTTTTCTCCGTGTACTCCAGGGATTGAATGGCATATTTATATATCTCTCTTGACCAGGCAACACGATGCATCTATTGGTTTTGGTGCTTCCGTTCGTACAAACATGAGTACTTCTGGGTTCAGTAGTGCTGCAGTAACATCCTCCTTGTTGGAATCTGTAAGGAATACTTTCTTATATGGCTCATTATATTTTATACTAGTCTTTTTTTCTATATTTATATGTCAAGTAGCACTTAGAATTATTGTTAACTGGTTGTAGTTACAAAGTGAAGATCTTGTTGCTTATGGTCTTATTCCTGAGTTCGTTGGAAGGTTACCCATCTTAGTGAGCTTATCTGCATTAAACGAAGACCAGCTTGTACAGGTAGCTTGTTTCTAATTTTGCTTGTCGTTACTCTGCTTATGGAATGGTTTTCAAACATACGTTGTCAATATTACGAGTTCTAATTCTTGCTCATTCTTTACGTAGGTTCTCACAGAGCCTAAGAGTGCACTGGGTAAACAGTACAAGAAGTTGTTTCGCATGAACAATGTAACTCATTCTACCATTACAAGTTACTTACAAAGGCCTCCTAGGCTCTGCTATAATCCTCTTTGCTGTCCGGATGATTTGTTAGGTCCAACTGCATTTTACTGAAGGAGCAACAAGGCTAATCGCGAGGAAGGCTATGTCAAAGAACACTGGTGCGCGTGGCTTACGGTCTATACTGGAAAGTATCCTCACCGAAGCAATGTTCGAGGTATGAGGAACGCACCCTTAGAGTCCTAGGTTATTAAGCGTAGATATTCTATTGAAGATAATGGCAATGTAGGGACAGATATATTTGGAAATCGATCACACTAGAAACAGGGCGTGTTTGTGCTGCTTTTGAAATGTTGAATTTGAATCATAAACAGGTACCTGATAGTATTACAGAAGGATCACAGGGTATAAAAGCAGTCTTGGTGGATGAAGAGTCTGTTGGTTCAGTAGGAACGCCCGGATGTGGTGCAAAGATTCTGAAAGGAGATGATGTGATGCAACCATTTCTGGAAGAAACAGAGTCCCAGGAGAAAAGAAAGGAGGATAAAGCTATAAGAGCTCAGAGATTATAGCCGAACTGATGTTATGAGAGGTGTGACTCGTGTTATATATACATGTAGGGCATGAATGATGACTTAGTAGTTTCAGTGTTTAGATTCATCAGCAAAGAAATAAAGAGTAAAGAATAATTTACAAACAATACATAAATATGCCTAATACGTCTATCGCATTAATAAACTGAAAAAAAAGAAGTTCCGACAAAAATACGGACAGAACTTTATGAAATCTTTGGCAGTCGTCAAATTTACCGCTTCTTCTCAGACGTTGGTCACAAAACTTGCAAAGAAACTGTTTGACATTTTAATTTTTAAGGAATTTGCAAACTTTCTCAAATTTGGTCAAGGATTAGTATCTTGGTCGTTTTTCCGTCGTAAAAGTCGGTACAGTGTTTATTTGTTCCGTCGCAAAATCATGGCAAAGCATTAGCGCTGGGTATATGTTACTCGCCGGTTAAGATGTTTTCGTCTCCTGCGAGTCTCCATGAGTCCAAGGAAAATGATTCGCGGCGGAAGAAACTACATTACTTCCGTCCCTGCATTCTCAAACGACGCAAAGAAGCTTCTTTTATGCACAGCCAACTCCGTCTCCGTTTTCAGCGTAGCCACTGGCTTACAGGTTTATCTCTCAGTTTTCCTTCCTTTCTTCTAGGGTTTGCTTTTTCACTCCAATCATCTTCTCTATGTGTTTTTGTTAAAAAAGATTACTTCACTCGAGGGTCATACAGCACCCGTGACGACTGTGATTGTTGATTCGGCGTGCGATGAAACCTCAACTTACTGTTGGACGGCGTCGCTCGACGGGAAAATTCGGAGTTGGGAATTCTCGACGCCGAAGCTTTTGAGGACCTTTCATACTCACCTTCCGATTTACTCTCTGGTCTGTTAAAGTTCGATGCTTTGCCTTTGCACATGATATCTGCTTGAAGCAACTTTTCCTTATGAGTATATATTTTTGGAACTTGTAGGTGATGATTCCATTTCACTTGTCACGTGAATTGATTTTTTACGTTTCGGTTGAGGACTGCTCAAGTGTGTCCAGAGATTTGTTTGGACAAATCCGGAGATATAATCTCTCTTCTGAAGAGTCTCTTCTTAGTGGAGACACATTGAAAGAGGTCAAATTTGTAGATTTAACCATTTTTCGAATAATAGACTAATGCTTGCGTCAAAACTGATTATAAAAAGTCCAATGATTTTGTTTTATGAGCACAGATGGAAGAGCCAAAACCAATTGTTATGAGTCCCTCTGGAGAGTTTTTCGGCGTCTGTCACAATTGCAAAATACATATATGGAATGCCACTTTGGGCGAAACAGAGCATGTCATGGCAAAAGAGATGACATTACATCACACAGAGTTGATTACTGTTTTTGCATTCCATCCCAATAAAAGAATGCTAGCAGCTGGTGATGCAACAGGAAGAGTGTTGATTTGGAAGGAAATTGGTAATGCTGATGAATCTTGCACCACTTTCAACTGGCACTCCACTGAAGTAACTGTCGTCAATTTCTCTTCAGATGGAGCATTTTTGTATTCAGGTGATGGCTGAGTTATTTTTGTATCTCTGTGTCCTTCTATCTCATGTTTCAAGAAGTTATATACTGAGCTCGTATGCTACATCTCCTCTGCTTGCGAACTCTCTTTCAGGGGGAAAGGAAGGGGTTCTTGTTGTTTGGGAGCTAGATACAGGGAAGAAGCAACTCTTGCCAAAGATAGAGTCTCCCTTGTTGTTTTTCATCTTCTCTTCAGATCCAACTCTTTCTTCTGTAAGTCAGATCAGCTTTTCCGCTCACAATCTTGGTGGGCCTAAATATACACAACCTGCATAAACAAAAAGGAAGTGTTTTTATTATTAACTCTACTAAGATCAACAAGTTTCAGGCGATTTGTGCAGATAATCAGATTCATCTTCTTAAAATGCCTTCAATGGAGATATTGAGAACGATTTCTGGAATCAAGGTTCGTCGTTCTTATATTGCTCCTATTGGATTCCATTTCTGTTGGAGTTAATATATGTTCTATAAAAACAGCCTCGGGCATCAGAACCTATGATGTTTACATGCGACGACAGATCGATGCACATACGTCTCATCAGAACTGTGTCCATTGATCGTTCTTCCGGTATAGCTGCTTTCTCCACAGCGAATCATCGTGTTCAACTCTACAACCTTTTAAATGATCATGAGATTTCAGAGGTGCGCATCCGAGAAAACTTCTTTTTCGAGTTCGTATCTATAGCTGTATGGTTTAACTATTTAACAAACCGAAAACATATGCAGGTTCAAGTTTGCGAGAGAAACCATCAACCAGATGCTGATGGAGTCCGGGTTAGTACATTTTTTTCTTCTTTACTTTCGTCTCTGCAAGGTCTAGTAAAGGATCTGCTTCTGTTTCTGTTTTGTAATAACTTGAAGAATTATGGAAATTAGGTTCTCGTGACAGCGGTTGCTCTCTCCCGGAATGGTTCAGTGATGGCTACGGCTGAGGCCAGATTTGCTGCAGGGAGTCTCAGTAGAGGCTTAGTTACTCTCAAGTTTTGGGTGTTTGTACCAGACAACAAAACTTTCAGCTTATCAACAGTCATAAGTCAACCTCACAGGTTTTTTACTTTATAGTTTTTATGTTTCTATAAACTTTCAGATTTACTTCATTCTCATGGTGAGAGTAACATTTTGTCCTTGTAAATTTTTTCATTACAGGGAAGCTGCTATAACAGCCATTGTCCTTAACCCCGCCCGTTCCATGGCTGTTAGTATATCTTCTGCTGGGGACTTCAAGGTACAGTGTAATGAATCCTTTCCCTAGAAAATGTTTGAACTTTTGCTGTTACTGATAATGACTTTTTGTCTTTCAAGATTTGGGTTTGCAATAGCGACAAGAATCTGACACCTGAGGATTCAAACTGGATATGTCATGGGGTTGGCTCTTATAAGTAAAAAAAAGAAAAAAGCTTAGGAACCTTTCAACATCTCTCATTAGTACTTAGTCGTTGTAGTTGAAACTGATGAAATCTTTTGCAGGAAAAAGCCGATAACAGCTGCCGCTTTTTCCGGGGATGGTTCTTGTCTGGCTCTTGCGGCTACAACAGTTCTTACGATTTGGAACCCGTTACAGAACAAACTCTTGTATGTATTTGGAAAGTCTCATACGGTAATAAAAGAAAAAGAACTTCTACAAACAAAAAATAAAATAAAAATCCATGTTCATTAACTGCTGAAGCCAGTGCTGAAAAATCTTGGATGATGTTTCAGCCAATTACGGCAATCTCATTCGCTGGAGGTTTCCTTGTTGCTGCATCTCATTTTCCTGATTCCAACCCTCACTTATCTGTCTGGGATTTGATGACGTTTGGTTTATCATGGTCGTATAGATTATCCATAGAAGGTTTATTACCAAATGTATTTTGGTTGTTTTTTTTTCCTATTAAAACTCTGTTTTGTTTTTGTCTTGGTAAATTTTGCTCTGCTTGTTTTATTTGCAGCCATTGCCACTCAATCGGAGATGTTGTCACCATACTTTGCAGTTTTAGCAGAATTTCTAGGATCTCATAGGTCAGCAAAATCTAATGAACAGATCTTTCGCGGGAAAGATGGAGCTATCCTTTTGTTTGATGGGTCAGGCCCTAAACCGGTAGCTATTTGGACCGTTATGAAGGTATAGTTTTCTTACCTCACTAAAGGTATAAAAACTCAATCATTACCATATTATTATGTTTCTTGATCACAATGGTTGGTTATTGCAGGCCCATGGAGGATCGCTTTCATTTGTGGAAGACAGTAAAAAGTCTCAGACACTTCTCGCGTATGTAAATGGGAGGCATGAATATGTTCTTTTCGATCCTTTTAGCGATGAAACACTCGAGACCAGTGCCAAGGATTATGAGGTTCTTCTCGCGGCAATAAGCGAGAAAAGTAAGAGATCACGTAAGAAAACATTGTTGGCGATGTTAGAGAGACCTTTTGAAACAATGTTTTGCGGATCAACACTCAATATCCCGCCTTTCCCCGACGTGTGCGCTGATTTCTTTGCTTCCCGGATGCGGAAAAATATATGTGAGAGTGTAGAGATGCAACCTGAAAGCCATAGCCCTTGAGAGAGATCTCTACATTAATTTTTGTAGCTTTTGTAAGAGATCCGATATTGGATTACTTACTTACGGTTTCGATATGGAATCAGAATGCTGGAGTTTTTGATCTTTAGAAACTGCAATTGAGATACTCTTGTAAGTCTCTAAGTGTGATCATAAGGGTTGTTTTGATTGGGCTTTCATTCATCATGCAGCAGTGATTTGCAAGTGTATAATGATGATATATATTCTCTTTCGTGGCATTATGTTTATTTTCTGCCAGATCATTATGGGGATAAACAAGTCAACAGAATTTGATAAAGATTTAAGAGCAAAAATATCGAACACGTTGCCCAAAAAGATTTAAGAGCAAAAAGATTCACACATACCCAAAAGAATCCAGCCCAAATCTCAAAAGCTAGAAACCCCATGCTCGTTGTGGCCGACTCGCCGCTCGAACCTTGGATCGGGGAACAGAAGAGTAACGGTGGCCGTACGGTCCTTGACCAGTTTTGACCACGTAGCCGTTTGGGCGCAAGATTTGATGTAATGGCTAAGAAGTTGGTTATTAGAGATCAGTCTATGGTCAGCGAACCGGGCTAGGCAGGAACGAGTGGAAAAGTGGGGGGAGCCATCTTGTTTCGAACCAGGGTTAATTCCAATAAATATCCTATATACGTAGGTGGAAACAGGGGAAGGGGTCAGATTTATCCTGATGGTAGCAAAAGTAACAATACAGTTTATAATGCTATGGCAAGAGGGATAAGAAGCAAAATTTTACGAAAAGAAAAAGGGATACAAAATAACCATAAAGGATGCATCCAATGAACGCCAAGTGATTGATATTATTCCTCGAGGCCTAGAACTTTTTGTTTCAGAGGGTGAATCCATTAAACTCGATCAACCATTAACGAGTAATCCTAATGTGGGTGGATTTGGTCAGGGGGATGCGGAAATAGTACTTCAAAATCCATTACGTGTCCAAGGCCTTTTGTTCTTCTTAGGATCGGTTGTTTTGGCACAAATTTTTTTGGTTCTTAAAAAAACAGTTTGAGAAGGTTCAATTATCATTGCACAAACTGAATCGGATAAGAGATGGCTACAACTTAATCCATTATGTATAAGCTAACCCCACCACTTTCGATGTAGATAAATTAACCAACCAATTTTTGTTTGAAAAAAACAGATCAAATTTAACTAAACCAAATTAATCCAACCCAAATTAAACCGGAGTTTGTATAAATTACATTTATACCTGAGCATAAAAGGTAGAACAATTGTATACTATTATTATATGTCCTCCCAATGTACCGATAGGAGTATACTAGACGATGTGGTTCGGTTCCATGACGTGGTCGGAATACTGATAAGCGGTATAATCGATCTAGCTGAATTATCGAATTATCTCTTAGTTTACCATTAGGCGAACTTAGGATTGTCTAGATTTATTGTACGCAGTATGGATACGGTTAAATATAGTATTTTCAAAAAATTATCAAATATGCAAATGTTGCTAAGATTATCAAATATGCAATCTTAGTATTTCATCGGATACGCAATATGCATAAGATTAAATCTAGTATTTTAAAAAAATTTTTTTATCAAATATATGCAAATGTTGCTAAAACCTTTATTAAAAATAAGATTACTAGTTTCTTTTTGGATTGTTAAAATTTTCTTATGTATTTTGGTCATTGATATGAGAAAATCATAAAAGAGTTTTTTTCTTGAATATCATAAATTTTTATGACATATTTTCTAAATGCAATTTACTATTTTCTGAAAAATTAAACCTTATAATGTAGAAGAAAAAATCATAAGAAAAAAACAATATTTTGGTATTAAAATAATTCCACGTTACACGAATTTGACAAAAGGTCTAGTTTTAATCACAAGGGTTGACCAAAGGCATCCAGAGAAAGTAAGAGATAATTTTATATTGTAGAATCTTGAAAACGTCAGTTAAGTTTGTGAAATGTGATGATGGGCTCTAAAGGGCATTTGTCGTAAGCCCACTTCACACCGATATAAGGTTGTCAGAGTTGACCCAAGATCTCATATTTTTCATTTCTGCACATTTTATCCCATTTTATTCTTTATCTCCAGATCTCAAATCATCCAGAACATATTTCTTCATCTCGGAGCAGATCTAAAATCCTCCATATGTTTTTTCAGTCTGATGGAAGGGTTTGTCTTGAAAAATTGATCAAATCCTTGGAGATGTTTTTTCACCACCATAAGATCGAAAAACCACCAGAAGATGGAAGAACCACCAGAAAATGGAAGATCTAAGTCAAGGGTGATACACACAGGGATCCCACCTGATGCTGCAAAATAAAAAAAAAAAACCTTCCACTCACAGCTGATTAGGCGAGTACACACCACGCGCCCAAGAGGTATTTTGGATTTTTGAGATTTGGGTTTTGACGAAGATGTGGAAGCGTACACGAAATGTTTACAGGTATTCTGAAACTTGTTAAGTTACATTCATCTACGTTTTTTTTTCATTCGTGGCGGTTTAGATTGACCGTTTGTATTTATCTTACCATATATTACAGAGAATGCCTGAAGCTTATCCCACACACCAAATTTTCTATATGGTTGCTTGCTGCACAATGTGAAATCAGGCAATTGAATCTCACCGGTGCACGGAAGATATTAGGAAATGCGATTGGGAACGCTCCAAAAGATAAGGTAAGCCTGACGACGGTTAATCTGGAAATAGTTTACACTTATTTCTCATTGCTTCATGTTTTACTTACCATTGTGAATTTTTTTTTTTTACTGCAAAACAGATCTTCAAGAAATATATTGAGATCGAACTCCAGTTGGTAAACATAGATAGATGTAGAAAATTATACGAGCGGTATCTTGAATGGTCTCCTGAGAATTGCTACGTTTGGAGAAGCTATGCTGAGTTTGAGATGTCTCTTGCTGAAACAGAAAGAACGAGCTAGAGCTATCTTTGAACTTGCAATATCTCAGCCTGCTCTAGACATACCTGAGCTGCTATGGAAGGTATATTTTTTTTGCAGTCTAATGCATCCAAATAAGTGAAGATTTCTCAGAGTTTTGAGCCGATTGAATCATTAACTTCTCTATGTGTTTGTTTGTGGCAGATGTACATTGATTTTGAGATATCAGAAAGGGAATTAGAGAGGACACGGGCTTTATATTCAGATTAGGCGAGTACACACCACGCGGCAAGAGGTAGTTACACACCACGCGGCAAGAGGTAGTTGGATTTTGAGATTTGGGATTTGACGAAGATTTCCCGCCTCCCTTATAAATATCCAGCGTCAACACTCTCTCCCTCTCTCTCTCTCCCTCTCTCTCATCTTCGTACGCGCATTGTGATCTCACAGAGAAAGGCGGTTATCGAAGGTTTCCAAGTTAATCTGAAGTTCGTTTTCTCGAGAAGATTAATGGCGAAGGGAGAGGATCTGGACGGCAGACCGATTAAGCCGATCACGATATGCATGATTGGTGCCGGAGGTTTCATCGGCTCACATCTTTGTGAAAAGCTGATGAAGGAGACACCGCACACGGTGCTTGCGCTCGACGTTTACGACGAAGACAAGATCAGTGCGCTCGACGGTTACGACGATAAGATCAAGCATTTGCTCGAGCCGTATACGGTTGAATGGAAAGGTCGGCTCCAGTTTCATCGCATCAACATCAAGGATGGTGATTCGAGATTTGAAGAACTTATCAAGAAGGCGGATCTGGTATGTGATAGCTTTTCCTTTAGCGATTTCGCGTTATCTGTTTCTTTATTGCATAGGAAGCTGAGACAATTGGTAATGGCGGTTAGTGCATTCGTGTTTGATGATTGCATAGTCGGATGAGATCCGTTATCGGAATTCAGATTTTTCAATTCAGTTCTTCGTTTTCCTATTGTCGAGATCAGTAATGTCTGATGTGATTCTGAACTATTTGGCTCTGCAGACTATAAATCTTGCTGCGACCTGTACTCCAGCTCCTGCTGAACGCAATACGCGTACTCGTGATACTATCTACAGCAATTTCATGGACGCAGTTCCAATAGTATGTATCTCGTTTGATCCTTCTGACTTTCTTCCATTACTTGGCTTTAGCTGCGTTCAAAGATTTGGGTAAAGTAATCGTTATGAGCTCACTAGTAGTTGAAATTGGTCTGGTACTTTGGTTAATCCATTTGGATTTGTAGGTTAAATGCTGCTCTGAGAACAAGAAACGTCTCATTCACTTTTCGACGTCTGACGTATATGGTGAAACCATAGGAAGCTATCTTCCCAAGGATGACCCCCTGCGTGAGGTTAGGCCTCTTTTGCACCTTTCGCTTTATTGTCTTTTTACTCATCACCTCTCAACGCTGAATTTACTAAGTAACTTGTTGTAGCTGCCATTTTCTTTCTTTTCCCTATTCAGGGGGCAATCACATGAGTTATACAATGAATTAGTCTTTAAGAGTTTAGCTAACTAGACTATCACGCATGCATGGGAGCTTTTTTCCCGTATTATTATTCAGTTTAAGATCGTGTGGGATCTGAAATATGGAGAAAACATGGTTTTTGATCTTGACATTCAATTAGCTAAGGTCATCTACATTGTACAGGATACCTCCTTCTCTGTTCTTAAAGAAGATATGTCCCCTTGCATACTTGGTTCGATTGGGAATATAAGGTGGGCATATGCTTGTGCTCAGCAGCTTACTGAGAGACTCATTTACGGTGAGCATTTTTGCTTATTAGATAACATAAGAATTATAAATGTAAGTTTAGCAAAAAAAGAATTATAAATGTAGTGAAATGAGTTCACCTCACTGGTTTCTTGTGACAGCTGCGTTTGCCGGGCCTGAGAATAGCCTTGAGTATACCATTGTAAGGCCATTTAACTGGATTGGACCTAGGATGGATTTCATCCCCGGCATTGATGGTTCTAGCAATGGTGTCCCACGTGTTCTCGCCTATGTAAGTACAAATCCGTTTCTATATGCAATGTTTTGCTGTATATGCAAGATTTTGCTTGATGCATCTTTACATTTCAGCATCTTATACGCGAGGAGCCTCTCAAGCTTGTGGATGGTGGAGAATCACGGAGAACTTTTATCTACATCGATGATGCTATTGAAGCCATCCTGTTGATGATTGTGAGGCCTATTGCGTATAATCATCCTCTGTGGTTTTGATTTACTAACTGTTAGCGAAGAAGTTCCACCTGAAACAGGCAATGATACTGTGTCTGTGGTTCAGGAAAACCCAGAGAGAGCAAATGGCCATATCTTCAATGTAGGCAACCCGAACAATGAAGTTACAGTACGACAGCTTGCTGAAATGATGGCAGAGGTGAGGGAACATTTTTAAAACTGTCTTCTTCTTGTTCTCAAATCTCAACAACACGAATCTCTTTTGTTCTATCAGGTTTACGCAAAAGTGAGCGGAGGTGAAGCCATTGAGAACCCGACGGTTGATGTTAGCTCAAAAGAAATTTACGGGAAAGGTTATGAAGACAGTCACAAGGGAATTCCAGATACAACCATCATTAACCGCCAACTCGGATGGAACCCGACGACATCACTCTGGGACTTGCTCGAGTCGACCTTAACCTATCAGCACAGGACCTACGCAGAAGCTGTGAGGAATGAGCAAATAGAAGAAAATAAACAGAAATTGAGGCAAAGATCTGAAAGGAAGGACAAGAAAAGACAAAAAAAAAATAAGGACAAAATGACTGAATTTGCAGCTCAGAAGAAGGTAGATAAATCCAATGCTACTAAGAAGAACCAGGCAAATCGCAGCAAGGGAACAGGAAAAAAAGGGGAAAATGTAGCCATTGAGGACGATAAGTACTAAGTTTTTTTTGTTTTGGGTTGTTGTCTACAAATTTTTTGAGTGGGTTGCTTTATTTTCCTGTTCTTTAAAGTGTTAACCGTTCCTGTACTATTAGCTGGCCCAGAAGACGAAACCGGTTGCTTTCTTTTCCTCCCACTTTGTTGAACTTTCTCTTGTTAGAACACTCAGAATTTGTTTTCATTCTCTTTACCTCTCACTTTCTCTGTTTCAACTCCCTTTCTCTCTCTCTAGTTCTCTGTTTGACATCTTTTCTTGTTCTCTGTTTGTTTTTGGTTTTATTTTGCTCTAAGAAAAACCAATAGATGTTTGAGAAAATTAGAGAGAATAACTGATTTCTACATTGATAATTCGTATCCTTTCCTTTTCTTCTGATTTAGATTGGATGCTTTTCACTACTCACACACATACATACTTATAGTAGATTAACTACTACCACTAGTCAAGTTTTACAAGTAAAGTTAAACACCTTATTTTAAACACTAACAACTCTCCACAACTTCCAACCACTCTACTTTGGTCCTTAGCTAGCTTTAACCAACGAAACACACTTTCTTATTTGCATAACCAGACTAATGTCTCATTGCTTCTTAACTTAGTTGTGTTGTATAATAATATATGTATACGGGGAGGTATTAGGGCTTCATTCTACCTAGAGCACAAATATCGAACACGAGGTCTAATCGATCTACTAAAGAAATATGGTAATAAGTTGACAAAAAAAAAGAAATATGGTAATATGTTTTTTTTTTAATTAGTAAAATATGGTGATAATAAAAATACTATTTTATATATAATGCTTTAGACTTTACGGACCTACTAGGTAATAACAATTTCCTTGTGTTGCTTCTGACCCCGAATCTGCCTTCTCCTAGGGTTTTGCCTCGTGAAGATGGCAGAAGCCAAAGGGGCAGTTTGTGAAGACTTAGATATGATCAGTGCTTTACCCGAAGAATTACTTTTGAAGATACTGTTGCGTGTCCCGATTAAAGACGCAGTAGCCACCATGATTTTGTCTAAACGATGGCGTTTTATCTGGATGATGTTGCCCAGACTTGATTACAAAGAAAAAAGATATGGTGATGATTTTATGAATGATTATGATGAGGATGATGATGATGATGATGACAACGATGATGATGAGAGCAATAAGAGCATTTGGTGGTTTTTTGAGAAGTCAATGGAACTCCATAAAGCACATGTATTAACAACCTTGCTTATCAAACTTGGTCCAGGATGTCCTAGTGATGCTGATGTCCAAAAGTGGCTTAAAAAGGCTGTTGATCGCCACGTACGTGTGCTAAGATTCAAGCTTTGCTGGTCCACAGTTCCAACCGGATTGCCTAAGAGCCTTTACACCTGCCAAACACTCAAGGAACTAACTCTCTCTCGCAAGATTCTTGTGGATTTCCCTTCCTCTTCTTGCCTCCCATCGCTCATAATTCTTGAACTTTTCTACGTTGTGTATAAAGAAGATGATTCTCTTGTTAGGTTATTATCGGGCTGCCCCGTTCTTGAATATTTGATGGTCAAACGAAACAAGGATGACAATGTAACAAAGTTTAGTGTGAAAGTGCCTTCTCTACTGGACTTATTGTATTCTAATTACAATACTCCAGATGACAATGATATTGTAGATACGGGGAGGTGTTTGGTTATCGATACTCCGGCATTAATAAATTATCACATCGCTGATATGTCAGGAGACTCTTGCTCGATCGAGAATATGCCTTGTCTTGAGAGTGCATATATTGATGTCGAATCTTTCGCTGATATTGACAGGGTCCTAACATCTATTTCCGCGGTCGTGTCTCTTGAGTTGGCTATGACCGATGTACTGGTAGCTCTCTAACTCTTTATCTATCTAACAAGCTTGTTCCTTGAGATTACATTGTTGCGTCTAATTATTACGTTGTTGTTTTGTTTAGTTGCAGCTGGTGGGTTGTAGCAACATCAACTTCTCTCGACTGATAAAGTTATCTATATATCCAGATATGTCACATTGGTTGGAACCACTCCTAATTTTACTTAAAAATGCTCCAAAACTTAAAGATCTTTTGGTTGATTATGTACGTATATATCCTCCTCTTCTTCTAGCTTTATTAATGGACTAAAACACTAGTCAAAATTTGCCTAATAATTTATAGTCCATCCCTGCTTTTCAGGTTTATATCTGTACCGAGGATCTGACACTATCGTGGGACCAACCGAGTTCTATTCCTCGATGCTTGTCGTCACAACTCGAAATATTTGAGTATAGACAATATCGAGACACGGAAGAAGATGAAGAATTCTTGACATATATCCTAGCTAACTCTAAGTGTTTGAAGACCGTGACAGTTTCTGTGAAACCTAGCTTTGATCTTGAAAGGAAAGAGTTGATCATCAAGAAGTTGAGAGATATTCCTAGGGTTTCAACCACATCTCAGCTTTTATTCAAATAAAAATTCTACTTTCAGTTCATGTGCAAGCTTAGCTTTATCATGGACCTCTCAATATATTTAATCTGAAAAACTGATTTACCTGGATAGAATATACAAAACGTATGCTTTTAACCACTTGCTAGAGTAAAGTACTGCTTTTGACTTTCTTTTTTTTCTGTGTGATTTCAAAGGAAGAACGTTTGAATCCAAATCCAAATTTTTATTTAATATGTTTGTTTTGTATAATCCATTAGTAGAACCGGAGCAAAACTTAGAAGAAGATCATCATCTAAAACCTTAACCATCTCCCTTGAAGGAAGACTGACCATAACCACTCGGCTCATTGGTCCCTCGCAAGACGGTGACGGAAGCACTATGAACTGGCCACCTCCAGCTACGGGCCCTTCAACATAACAAGACACGTGGCTCAAGATCAAATCTTCCTCGAACATCATGGGACGCGAACTCGCCATGTTCTCTAGATTAGCACACACGAGATCTGAACCGTTGGATATTGGATTGCTATTATTGCTACTGAGCCACTCGATCAAGTCCATGACCGTGTCGTAGTCTAGTCTCTTGGTTGTCTTATGAATCTCTTGAACAGCGTGAGATAATGATAATAATCTATCTTTGGTTTTAACCGGTTTGGAATAGTGAACCTTGTGATAAACCATGCAATTACCAAAATAACTCTGGTCTAAACGCAATAGTTTCCTAACGTCTACGCACAGTGACATGTCCATGAACTCGTTTCTCTTCCCTTTCGCTAGACTCACACAGACCCAAAAGACTCCAGCCAAAATCTCAAAGGCTGAAACCCCTGGCTCGTTGTTGCGAGCTCGAACCAACGGATCGGGGAACAAAAGAGTAACGGTGACCATACGGTCCTTGGCCACGTTTGACGGTGTAGCCGTTAGAGCGCAAGATTTGATGTAATGGCTAAGCAGTTGGTTATTATTAGCGATCAGTCTGTGGTTAGCGAACCGGCGAGGAGGCAACGAGTGGAAAAGTGGTGGAGCCATCATGTTTCGAGTCAGGGTTAAATCTGCCCAAGCTCGGATAAACATCATTGCACAAACTGAATCGGCTAAGAGATGGCTACAACTTAATCCAATAGCTAACCCACCACTTTCAAACTCAGTCACCTGTAGATAATTTAAAGAACCAAATCAAATTAAACTAATTAAACCAAGTGAATCCAAACCAAAATAAACCGGAGTTTGTATATAAATGATACCTGAACATAAAAGGTTGACCAATAATAAGGAAGATCATGATATATGTCCTCCCAATGTACAAGCTTAAGCTCTTCCTCCCTATTTACATTCCTAAGCCATTCCTCAACCGTCCCGGTCGCTCTCGCCTCCACCATCCTCATGCCTGAATCGTTGCTCTTCACCTTCCACTGCCGGTTTAGTTCATTCTTCTCATCCGTACCATCAATTTCCTTAACCAATCTTCCGGTTATTATCGGATAACAATTGAGGGTGTATGCTAATGATTCCCTTAGTTTTTTTGTAATTTCTCCCGGTTCTCTAGTCTTGGAACATCGGTAGTAGTATACTAGACGGATGTGGTTCGGTTCCATCACGTGGTCGAGTACTGATAACCGGTATAATTGCCCTGGCTCAACCTGTTTAGTGCTCACCACGGTTCTTTTGCATATGAATCTCACGCGTTCCTCCTCCATTATTGTCTCTTCTTTCGCAGACATTTTTTTTTAAATATTATTTGATGGTTTTTATGCGCATGCACATTTGTATATATATGTGCGATTGTTGGTGTGTATTTACAATTATCTTCATGTTTGAACGCATACATTTCTCGTGAACAAAACAACCCTCACCTAAGGGGACGTAAAATTTTCATGGTCCCGTAAAACATGTTTCTGTTCCGCCGGTTTGTGTGTGTTTGTACGTACAATAAGTTTTACAACGATTGGTGGTAATTTCTTTTATTTATATACATGACAGGTGAGCGTGTTTTTTTTTTTTTTTTTTTTTGGATCGAATTGTATTAGAAGGTCAAACACATTACATTTTTTAAAAAGGTTTAACCTTTTTGTTAATAATTGAGCGTGTGTATTCAAGAAAACGTTACTAATTGGACGATGGATGTTATTACGTAAAGTTGGTAAATGGTAAGTGGTGTGACCCAACATATTTTAGTGTTTAAAACGTTTAATTAATACCATATCCAACCTGTTTTAGGTAGTCTAAACGGCTATGAGATAAATAAATTTGAACACCCCTAGTTCCAATTTCCAAATTATTTGAACTGGTTGTTTTTTTTTAATCCAAATTTGACGGCAATTTGCTTAAATAAATTGGGAATAGATAGATTGTGGATATTAAATATATCAAGAATTTGGATTGATAGGAGAACAAGGCCTAAATTATTACGAGGCCCAAACTAACGCGGACAGCGAAACGTCGTCGCTCTCTTTCTTATATTACACACGCGCATCCACGAGCGCGTAAATTTCACTTCCTCAATATCTTCAGATCACAGGCCCTGATAATTTCTCTCCTCCGATAGAGAAAGAAGCAGATCGTATCATCACGACCATTGCAATAAGAGAGAGAGGGAGAGAGAGAGAGAATGTCTGGAATGGTTGATGCGAGCTCGTGGGGTGCAGCGTTAGTAAGGATCTCGCCGTACACTTTCTCCGCTATCGGAATCGCCATCTCGATCGGCGTTTCAGTCCTCGGTGCCGCCTGGTAAATCCAATCTTCTTCTTCTTCCTTCCCGTAGACACAAGCATTGGCATGTTAATTGGTTGTGTAACCCTTAATTCGCCATTTGTTCCTGAGCCTGACCTGTTTGATTCGCGTAGCATCGTGTTTTCACCAATCTGTTTTGCTTGTCTGATTTTAGGGGAATTTACATTACGGGAAGTAGTTTGATCGGTGCGGCCATTGAAGCTCCTCGTATCACTTCGAAGAATCTTATCAGGTATGTTAAAGGTTCCAAGGTTTTAATTATAGTTTGTGGTCGTTGGTGTTCATTTATTTCCCTTTACGGATCAACTGAGTTTGAATTGAAGGTCCCATTCAAGGATTCTCTGATTTTATCTTTCTGAAAACCGATTAGTGGCCATTTTTAGGGAACGTTGTAGATTCGATGTCTTGTTCTGAATACCAATGAGAATCCATGGCTGAGCAGCTAATTCTTATTTGTTCTGGGTGCTTTAATGCCACATCTCTGCAAGAGTAGTGGATTGTCACATAATGATTAGAGGAAAAAGTTGTTGACCTGGGAATTTAAGAAAATTCGAAACCCAAGGACTCGCCTGGTTGGTAGGCTTAATAAATTTGGTGCGTGATGAAACACGATGAATGGTGTGAACTATGCAATGACTAAGCATTTTTTTGTTCTCCCAGTGTAATCTTTTGCGAAGCTGTAGCTATATATGGCGTTATTGTTGCAATCATACTGCAAACGAAGTTGGAGAGTGTCCCATCTTCAAAGATGTATGACGCTGAGTCTCTTAGAGCTGGATATGCAATCTTCGCATCTGGAATCATAGTTGGTTTCGCCAACCTTGTATGTGGGTCTGTATCTTCATTCTCTTCCTCCTTCCTTACTAGTTTTGGTTTTTGGATTCCATTGTCAGATCGGTTGCGTTTCTCCTGCAGGTTATGTGTAGGAATCATTGGAAGCAGTTGCGCATTGTCTGATGCTCAGAACTCCACACTCTTTGTAAAGATTCTTGTGATTGAGATCTTCGGGAGTGCTCTCGGATTGTTTGGAGTTATTGTGGGAATCATTATGTCCGCACAAGCGACGTGGCCAACCAAATAAGTATTACCGGTCTGAAAACGTTGTGATGTTACTTGCAAATCTGGAAAGAACATGGCTTTTTGGTTATCTTCATTCTGATAAGGATACTGATGTCTAGAAGACAAACCTTTGTGAGAACTGAGAACCTCTCTTTTGGATCCATAATTTTTTTGTATTGTTTAAATACTTTGGAATAAGTCACTTTTGGAGGACATCTTCATGTTTGTATTCTCTTTGGTTTCTCTTATAATCAAAGACGAGTTTGTATATGATTTGTTGTTGGTACATTATTGAAATTGGAAATTTCGTCCAATTGTTATTGTTAATGTATCTAGTTCACATCAACTAGTTAAGATCTCCGGCAATAATCACCCTAAGATGATTTATTAATGTTTTTTTTTCCCTAACATTCAAATATCAATGTACTGATCTCTGCCACTTTCGGTACACAAACCTACCAACTAAACCAATGCAATACATCAACCTATACAAATTGGTAGTAAGGTGAACCGGTTTATCCTAAAGGACCTAAACCAGTCATCGAAGTAGACGACATCGTTTTTGGTATTGTTTTTCAGTGGCTGTCCCGTTCCTGGAGCTTTTTGTTGTGTTTGCGTAAAACCCTAAACATATACGTCGTTTCATCTTCTTCTACACCGTATCTCTCCACCTTTGTCTCCCTTCTCGTTTCCCGACTCCGTTTCTCACTCCCATTTCCATCTTTTTAGCGACCTCGTCTCGCAAGCTCAAAACGTTTTCTTCTGTACCGGTGAGTATTGCCCGTTTTCATTTCCATAGCTTTTTCTTTTCTGGGTTTTAGTTAACTTTCTTTCAAAATCCGTATTAGAATTCGAATTTCCTCTACTGTGTCTAATATTGGGTCATTTGGGATATTTTTTTGTTTGGGAGCTGATAATATGTGCCATTGCTTCTCTGTCTTGGGAAATGGTTTTGGGATTTTACTGCTCTGTTCTTCGTATTGATTAGAAATCATCAATCTAGTTTAGCTTTTTCTCTTTATAATTTTCCTTAACCACTTGTTGGTACAGTCACTGGCATGTCTGTATGTTGTGTTCCGACAACATTTGATTTTATTTTTTTAAGTGTAGGAGTAGGAAAAAAATGCAAGCTTGTTGTGGAGGTACTTCAATGGGGTCTCTTCAGCAACCTGGACGGGTTCAAGGACCTGTCTTTGCCCCAATTATGTCTCCGGTGACCAAATTTTCTCAGCAACTCAAGTTCAATTTTCCAAGACCTTGCCGTTCTTCTTTTGCTGAAAGAAGCTTGAGAGCGGCTTCAATGTCGGCACTTAATGCCGAGATGAGCAGTAAGAGAGCTTTGTTTTCATTTATGATAATATATGATGGAAACGATTATCTATCTATTCTATGCGTTGTTTTGATTTTTGTTTTTTTCCGTTTAACTGTGACTGATATTTATAGGCAAAGAAATCCTTTTTGAGGACTATGGTCTTAATGAAGTTGATCCAGAAGTCCAAAAGATTGTCACAAAAGAGAAAGATAGACAATTCAGGAGCTTGGAGCTCATTGCATCCGAGAATTTCACGTCCCGAGCAGTTATGGAGGCTGTTGGATCATGCCTTACCAACAAGTATTCCGAAGGACTGCCTGGTAAAAGGTAATGAAGTATGTTAGAATGGTCTTTTGTTCTTTTTGTTAATCATCTGCTAGATTTTATAGTCAGTCTCTGCTCCATGTCTCACAGGTATTATGGTGGCAATGAGTACATCGACCAGTTGGAGACACTTTGCCAGAAGCGAGCTTTAGCAGCCTTCCGCTTAGATTCTACGAAATGGGGGGTTAATGTTCAGCCCTTATCTGGTTCACCTGCAAACTTTGCTGTGTACACCGCCATACTTAGCCCTCATGATCGAATCATGGTTAAGATCTTTTGCTCTCTTCACCTCATCGTTTCTTTTGTGTCTGAGATATTGAATATTCGTGGCTTGTATTGAGTATTTAGGGTTTGGATTTACCTCATGGTGGTCATCTGTCACATGGGTTCATGACTCCCAAAAGGCGTGTATCTGGAACTTCAATATACTTTGAGTCCATGCCTTATCGACTTGATGAATCAACAGGTGGTGCATTTCTTGTGATATGGTCTCTGCCACTATTTTTTGTATGAGGCTATTTCCTGATATCTGAATATATGAGCAGGGATTATGGACTATGATATGCTCGAGAAAACTGCTGCACTTTTCCGACCAAAGCTTTTAATTGCAGGAGCTAGTGCGTACAGCCGAGATTTTGACTATCCTCGCATGAGGAAGGTAAAACCAACCTGATGCTTGAATGTTTGCTTTATGGTTTTTTGGTCTAGTTTTGGCTTTCGGTAGCATCTGATATATCATTTATCTCACAGCTTGTTTGAATTTTTGAAGATTGCAGACTCAGTTGGTGCTTTTCTGATGATGGATATGGCTCATATCAGTGGGCTTGTGGCTGCTTCTGTGGTAGCCGATCCTTTTGAGTATTGTGATATTGTTACAACAACCACTCACAAGGTATGTATGTCGTGGAATCTGAAACACAAATTCCATCCGGATTTAGAGACAAAAAAAAAGAGTTCTCTGATTGACCCAAAATCTGATAGTTTATTATACTTTGCTATTTCAGTCTTTGAGAGGTCCGAGAGGTGGCATGATCTTCTTCAGGAAGGATCCAGTTAATGGGGTTGAACTTGAATCTGCCGTTAACAATGCTGTCTTCCCTGGTTTGCAGGTTGAGATAATCACCATCCATTCGAGCTCTCTTTTTTGATAATGTTGCTTTCGACGTCATTATAATTTGTGTTGTGCTGTATGTTTCTAGGGTGGCCCTCATAACCACACAATTGGAGGATTAGCAGTCTGCTTGAAACATGCACAGTCGCCGGAATTCAAGGCTTACCAGAAAAGAGTACTCACCCTTATATACCTGGCCATCAAGTTCTTGTGCACCTGATAAATTCTGTAAATTGAACTTGTCACAATCTTTTGTTGCTTGTTTAGGTTGTGTCTAACTGTAGGGCTCTAGCTAACCGACTGGTTGAACTCGGGTTTAAGCTGGTTTCGGGTGGCAGCGACAATCACCTGGTTCTCGTCGATCTAAGACCATTGGTAAGTTCTTTCTTATAAACTCTATTATTACTGGCCCCAAGCAATGAACTCTTTTCTCAAACTAGAGAATCACTTATCATGATGCGGTATCAATCAAATATTTGTGCTATGGTTAGGGCATGGATGGTGCTCGGGTTGAGAAAATCTTAGACATGGCATCGATTACCCTCAACAAGAACTCTGTCCCTGGTGAGCCTCATTCCCTTATTCTCGGTTTTGTTTTTCCTATTTGAAAAGATGTTGTTAGTCAATTTGAAAAAAGTTGGTGTTTGTGAAATGTGTGAAAACAGGTGATAAGAGTGCGTTGGTTCCAGGAGGAATAAGGATAGGATCGCCTGCGATGACGACAAGAGGGCTCTCAGAGAAAGACTTTGAGGCGGTTGCTGATTTCATCAAGGAAGGTGTGGAGATAACGATTGAAGCCAAGAAGTTGGTGACGGGAACAAAGCTTCAAGAATTCACCAAGTTTGTGACTTCTCCTGATTTCCCACTGAAAGGGAGAGTGGAGAATCTTAAGGATAGAGTCGAATCCTTCACTTCTCGTTTTCCCATTCCAGGCGTTTAATTTTTATATAAAAAAACACATATAAGTCGTGTTGTTGTACCTTTTATTTTTATTATGAGCTTTGTTGCTGGCTTGTGTCCCAAGTTTCAACGCTGTTTTTGAATCTTTAGCAAATCCATAATAGTGATATTGAAAAGAAGAAAAAAAAAAAGTTGACTAGAGCTTTCCGTTTAATTCTTCTCAATATTCTCGTAATTAAAAAACTCCAGACTATACAGAGAAGATTTTACTTTAACTAATGACATTATCATAAAACAAAAATTTGACTAATAATATTGGTGCGAAGGAAAAAAAACTATTTGAAATTTTATTTTAAAGTCAAGAGCAGCTATTTCGCGGGATGTGGCGAATTTATCTCACCCAATCTTTTATTTCCCTCTCTCTCTCTATCCCATGCGTTTTTTTTGCCCTTTTCAAATATTCTCTCCTCTGCCTCAGGCACTCTCTCTCTCTCTCTCAAAATAGAAAGAGAGAGATCCGAAAACAGAGTTTATCTTCCTTCCTCTCCTTCCCAACCGGAATCAGATCTCTCACGTTGGTGGATTTTTCCTCCGGCGTGCCTATCACGGCGGCCAGGACCGCCTTTCGCTTTCTTCTTCGCCTCCAGGTCCGATTATATTTTCTTCCTTCTTAAGCGGTTTATCTATACATATGCGTGTTTGTGTGTGTACGTATAATTACTGCAGATACATTTATGTATCCCTATCAGATTTGGGGAAAAGTTCGATTTCCGTTCGTTTGTTTGACGAGGAAACAGCGAAGATTTTAGGGCAAAAGTGCGAGTGATGAACGATTCTCTTAGGCATTGCCATGCGTTTTGCAATTGAAGAAGGAATCATATTCTCTATGTTTTGGGATTTGCGTTCTCATCGTGAGACGCGATAAATTTGTTTGGTTGATTGGAAACTGAAGGTAGCGAAGCTTTTATTTAGAGAAAGTTTGGCTTGGAGTTTTACAGCGCTCCATTAATCATCAATCGATACACCTCTCCTCCATTCTCTTCATTTGAATCATCCACAGGCTATATTTATCTAGCAAAATTGAAGGAAAAGAAAACGATGTGTTAATATTGGTTTTGTTCATCGATCCTCAGGCATTGCTGAGTCCTGAAGGTCAGCCATGGAGGGAGTGAAAACCCCGTTTGCGGGAGTTATTAACGATTTCAGAGGAAGAAGAAAGTGCTACAAACAAGACTGGCTTGCTGCGTTCCATTCTGGTGTTAGGTATGTTCATGCTTATCTGATGAGCTTCTTCTCTCCTCCACATGCAAACTTCTCTGGTTTTTTTAAACTAACGATCAATCAATATCAGGATACTGGCTCCAACTCTGTATATTTTCATTGCTTCTGCATTACCTGTGATTGCATTCGGCGAGCAGCTAAGCAGAGAGACAGGTGTGTTACCTACCGGAAAGTATATAATTAAGTTTTGTTGCTTCCAGAGAATTTGTCACAAGGTTGATCACTCTCTTACTTTCAGATCGAAGTCTTGGCATAGCGGAATCATTAGCTTCCACAGCTATCTGTGGAATTATCCATTCAATTTTCGGTGGACAACCTCTGTTGATAGTAGGGGTTGCAGAGCCCACAATTATAATGTACACATATCTTCACAGCTTCAGTA